GTCCTTGAAGTCAGATCTAAATTTGATCCGCATAATATCAAAATTGCCCAATCAGAAGGCATTTTGAATCTAATGAATACAGTCTACTTTTTATAAAATCTCTCAAACTAGCGCAATAATAGGATTCATGTAAGAAGGCCTCTATCCCAATATTGAATCAAGAAATTCTTTATAAATCATCTGGTTTAGTTACAAAAACTTATGCTTGCGTTTGAAGTTAACAATTTGATCAGCAGGTCAAAATTGACCAATTAGAAAGAAGGCGCTCGAACCAATGATCAAATTTGATATAATAGACTAATGTGAAAACAAAAATGTCACTACTTATATGATTTTGAGGAAAAAGGATACATTTTTAATAATTCACCAACATGACCATCAAATTGCTACCTAATGTTATACTTCGAAGAGATAATAATCACTGTTTCTCGGTACGATTGACTAGCACTCCGTCCGGATCTGGGCGATATACAACAAAAATTCTATTTACAATAGATGCGTATCAATATACAGGGTGTAAACGTTATTATGGTCATATAACATGGGGGTCAAAACGGCATTTTTTTAGAGAAAAGGGACTTTAAAGTAAAATAAATCTGACAACGCCGCAAAACTATGCAAAAGGATAATTAACCACTGTTACCGTTTGCGATCGATTGCCGGTTCAATAAAGAGTGATGATGACCAACGCGCTGTTGTCGAGTGTGTTTTAAATATTCAATTTAATGAAACGTACTTACTTACTGACTACAAATTTTGGCTTAACTTCGAAAAACTTAATGCCATTTATTTGTTAATTACCCAATAAAACGTTTTAGATTAGATTATAAAAATTAGTAAGACTGTGGTGATTGTGGTCGATATAAAACACTTAGAGCCAATTTCACTAAGGTTGTCAAATCAACAGTCCGTTATTCTCCAGCTATAGGGTAACAGTCCGTCAAATACAACGAATGATAAACCTCTTGCAGATAGCCATTAAGCACCTACTTGATTAGAGGCTCTACCAAAAGATATTGCTCGTTTCCAAACATTCATTCATTTACTTGCCGTTCATCAGAACCATGATGGCACCTTAGATTGATATTCCCACAAAACCATTCAGATTTTTTGATATCCATACATCCATAAAGTTGAATATTTTTCGTTGTTCAGAAACTGAACAAACATCCACACTATATTCACAGCGATTAAGAAATTCCCAAATATATGCCTTAAAGCTACCAGCAAACCTAAAACCTTCAAAAAACTACAAATTTGCCATATTTTTCTTTTTTCACGAGTACACATTCTAGGTTATATTTATATTAGACAATATTTGAATACAGCTGATTATTGCATTTCAAGAGTGACACATGTTTGGGATCTGTCAACCCTTGGCCCCAGTCACAAAACATATACTCGGAAGAAGGTTTAATTCCATGCTATTCAATGACAACACGGTGACTTGTGTGGTGGTCAGCGGCCATTTAGTGAGGGTGCGACATGGTTGCCAGATTGTGCATTAATATCCCGTTTCACCCCCTGGTCCCAGTGGAGTAAGCTCCGCCAACTGTTGAAATATACTCTACTATGCTTTATAAGACTATTCGTGGAGTTTTTCCCAAAATCGTTGCACAACACTTGAAAAAATGCAAATGAAAATTTAAAATTATTTCCATGACGCCACAAAATAGTTCCGTCGGTACCTCGGGTTATACATCTTGACAGTAGGGATGTTCGATACGATCCTATATCTAGAAGTATCAATACATTTCACGAGTATCGTCATCTTTCGATCCGGACTGTGTCAGGATGAGTGACTGCCATTTGGCTGCGACATTACCCTGCCAAATCAGATATATCTTTCATCATTTTCAAAGAACTTGTACAAAATCTTCAAATTTGTGAAGTTAGCGAGTTCCACTTCATACGTTGTTACCAGACATGCCCAAATCAGCAGTTGCTGCCGTGATATTCATCCCGACCACTGCCTCCCCACGGCTAGGCGACCTGTATGTTAAATTTGTATTGATAGGGCAGTGGGTTATGCTATAAATCATATGTCACAGTTTTTGTGCACTGATTGCAACTGTTAGATGATACCAAAAATATTTTTATAAATAGGTCTTTCTCATTCCGGATCGAACAATCTACCAAAGATGCTTATAATCATGATACCTAGTAATGTTTCACGAAAAAAATTCAAAACCAGCAAATGTAAAAGGTTCATTTCGCACCCTCCACCTCGGGACGTGATCGTCGTTAGACTTGGCAACCCTGCGAGTGACAGATAGATATCCCCGCCAGTCAAAAAGACAAACAAAACAATAAACATTACTAGTTTTATGATTTTTGGACTTAAAGAGACATTATTTGTGAAACATTTTTCATAATTTTTTGTCTATGTCCATAGTAATTGCATTATGCATTAGGGAGATGTAGGGATTGACACGTCTTACACATATTGTCTGTGTTTTAGGATGGAGAGGACATAATGTTTTTATTGCTTTGAAGAAATTCATTAACCCATAAATTAATAAATGATTACTATTATGATGTAAAGGAAGATGAGGAATTGGATGGAATGTATTTTATATTCTATTTTCTTGCAAAATACAGAAAAATCCACACTATTCATTCAGGTATGTAGTGATAATACTCAGTATATTGAAGTTAGCAAATTCGAGATTGCCATGCATTAATAAACGTCCAAATCTGCTGCCAAATTTAACAGCTAGAAAATCGACCTATTATTTGCCGCATTCCCATTCGCTGAGGGGATAACGGATTGTCAAATGTAAACCTATAACATATATCAAAATATATGAAAGTTGTCCTGTTTTAAATGTACAAAAGCATCAAAAAGTGGTCTTATTGACAATACAGTCGAAGTTTCACGATTCTATTCAATATTTTAATAAAAATCACTGATATTCAGGGACCTTTGACAGCTTCCGTCAAATTGCATTTCGATAAGGTATTTTCCCATTGGTCTATAATATTAATGTTGGTGAAATTGGGCCTAAAAGTTGTAAACTGTAAAGCCATTTAGACAAAAATCTATTGACTTTTGGACCATGGGTCATATGAACTTTTTGACTTGTCTTGTCCCCCCCTATCACCCATTTCAGTAACGACTACCAACGTATGTAACGTGTGATGTTCTTTTGGAAAAAAACACAGGAAAAAGATTGTAGATTCTAAAAAGAAACGTTAGATTTATGGTATTGTACTGCATTTTAACCTGAAAAAGAAGTGTTATTGGAACCAACTACCATGGGTTGGAATAACAGACACAATAGTTGTTAATATATGAAGGGTACCGGGGAAAAAGATGAATGTTACAAATTTGATGTTTTGTAGTTAGAACCGGCAACATGTAGTCTTAACGCAGTACAATCCCATGATCTATCGGAAACACGCAAAATCAATGACAGATCGTAGTTATAACCAATTGAAAACTTACCGTGCATGGAAAAGGGATGAATGTCACACCCGTTGTATGAGAAAAAGATGAACGCCGTCTCATCGTCACCGAAACTAGTAGCTACTGCAACAATTTACCATTCAGCAGTCTGCGACGAACGAAATAAACGTGGAGCAATCATTTTTAAGCCGCTTCCATTAATTTTTTTTATATATTATTTTGAATAAAGTTTTTTTGGTTCGCTGTTTTTTTCTTGTCCCAGTCAAATAAATACTTGGAAATATATAATTCTGTGTTTGAGCTATTGAGGTTCTAGGCTTTGTAATAAATTTCCTGTTAAGGTTGTTATATATTGATCATAATACCTAAGATAGGCATTTTGCTGGTTAATCAAGCCTTTGATTTTACAGGGTCACATATGACGAATGGCTCATTTCTTACCTCAATATCTCCAACAAGTTGAATTCAGGCATGGACGCTAACACAACAAATGTTTAAAATCATAAGAATCTCAAAATAGAAAAAAAAGGATTTTCCATTAAAAAATGTTTGGTCTGTTTTCGCTTTTGGGCTACCCTGTATATCCAAAAATATTTGTAATTTAACTTATGTTTCAAAGTTTTAAATTCATTTTTCTCGAAACTTTTTGTGACATTCACCTTTTTCCCCTGCACCCTTCATATATGTTTATATATAAGCTAGACAAACTATCTCTAAGCACGCTTGGAGCATAAAAATAGTTTTAAAGACAGAATTGAATATTTACACGATGTTCGTTAAAGAGTTATAAGCATTTTGTAATTATCTTCAAAGGATGTATTCAGTAGAATTTTGTACTGCGAAGACAAAAATTGAAAATCTAGTTTGACTAACCTGCTACATATACAGTGTACGATAGCACTGTTGATAATATTTAGAATATAATTTAATTGTCAAACTAATTTATAATATTTGTAAGTAATTTATTACATTTTTATAATATCATCGTCCGCTGTCGACTCTGACTCTGCTTTGCCCTCTGTGTGTATTTATCTTCTAATCGACGAGTTCTGAGCGGTCCCGTGTTTTCTCGAGCCTTCATCGAAGCTTGTTAGATGGAGGTCGATGCTTCTCGATGGGTATCAGCCACTCTCGACGCATGGTCGCATAATTGGTTGCCCAAGTGTCGATATGACAAAGGTGTCCCTTTGTTCCAGTTATGACGGCGCTACAATAGAAAGGAAAACATGACTATAATTGAAGTAATTTAGGAATTGTGGACACGTCTATCTAACTAACATCCGATATATCCTTTCTTTTAACGTCTCAGGTATTTATAATTGCTTTAAATTTGGTTTTATTATTTACAGTAAACCTATACTTAATATAAAGGTTTTCTTTATTTGATACAGGGGTTTGAGGCCCTTCTCACAGCAATCATATAATTATTCGCTACTTTGAAAAAATCGACTATATTCTTTATATCTATTATTTCAAAAATGCCTTTGATGGCCAGTTTTAATCTGTGATCAATTGATGGCCAAGAGTAAAATTGGGGCTAAAAGTGCCACTAGATACTGCAAGAATGTTATGTTATAATTTTCTGTTAGAGGTCAGTTACTTTTAAGGAAACTTACATTCTACAGCCGCCTAGAGAAACTAGAACTATGTTAGTAGCTAAACAAGTGAAGGTAACCAAAAGTATAAACTAAGATATGATGAACTCTGGACACCAAAATATTTTTATTGCTATGTAGATAGACAAAATGGTAATACAATTCTCTCCCATCGGTACAGAAAATATTTGGGTGATAAATACGTCGTAGGAGTTTTGTTTTGTTCTGTTTTCTATATCATCTTTTCCAAAGAAAAAACAAAACGAATCATCGTCTTTAACAAACTGCAAGAACCATACACACATATAAAACAGCCATAAAGAGCGAACTGTAAAAATAATTCGCACTTTGTTATCGATCTGGAGACAGCTCCGTATCGAGTCCTCAAATGTTATTTGAACTACCTAAAATGCCTGGCTAGAGGATTCGATAAAACCTGAAAAATCATTATGATGATTACATTGATAAACACAGGATTTGTGACATGACAATTTTTGGGTGCATCTTATGTATTTTGATGCCCTAAAATTAAATCTAAAAACAGAATTTTCCACAGATACTCGGTAACATCTACTTATATGAATTACAATACGTAACATCTCATATTGCTGCACTTCTCGGCATTTATGCGATGACGCACATATATAATGTTAAGACCTGTCTATTCCTGTGACTAATAGCAGCTAAGTCAGTTACTTTTTCAGTGTTGAAGAGTACTGAGATGTTCTGAGTAATGTTAATTTTTGTTGAAACGGTGTATTGTTTTTAGTTTATTGTGATCGAGACTAGCTTTATGGACAATGCCTAGAAATTGTATAAATAGTGCGAATGTGTGCGGAAAGCTAACTTTTAAATCCCAAAAACGTACTTTTATTCCCCTTGTGTTGAAAACATTCGAACTTCATCTTGGAATTAGAGTTGGCAACCAAGATAAACTATGGGCCCCTCATATATGTTGTAAGACTTGTGTAACGTTGTTAACAGGTTGGTTAAGAGACGAAAATCGTAAAATGCCCTTTGCGCTACCAATGGTTTGGAGAGAACCGAGAAACCATACTACTAATTGCTATTTTTGCCTCACAAATATTAAAGGTATTGAACCAAAATCGAAACATACTGTTAAGTATTTTAATTTACTATCAGCTTTGCGGCCCGTTAAGCATAGTGATGAACTTTCTGTCAAAGTTCCACCAGAATCTTGGTCTTTGGATGAAAAGGTCGAATCCATCGATTCTCAAAGTGATGGTACGAAAAGCGTTAAAATTTCCAATCCTTCGTTTGACTTGCCAGGATGTTCAACAGCGCCGCATTTGAGCACACAGGGCGAACTTAATAACTTAGTTCGAGAATTAAATCTGTCAAAATCCCAGTCAGAACTGTTTGCGTTAAGATTAAAAGGATGGAATCTTCTCCACGGTGATGTTACCATTACTTTTTACCACAAACGGCAACAAGACCTCACATACTGTTTCTGTCAAGAAAGGGAGTTGATATATTGCTCCGATGTCAACAATTTGTTAGACGCGTTAGGACAGAAGCATGATCCAAATGATTGGCGCCTCTTCATTGATTACTCTAAGCTTAGTTTAAAAGCGGTATTGGTACACAATGGTAATAAATATCCATCTGTACCTATAGCGCACGCAGTTCATATGAGGGAATCATATGAAAATATGCGAGTTTGTTAGAGCATAGCCGTTATAGTGAATGAATATGGATGGGCCATATGTGCAGATTTAAAGGTAATATCCCTTCTTCTTGGAATGCAACTATTAATGTTTTCTTTGTGAATCGGATAGTCGTGCGCGAGATCGTCATTATGAACAGAAGGAGTGGTCATTACGTCAGGTATTAACTCCGGGCCTCAAAAACATTGCTCATGAACCACTCTAGTTGATCCCAAAAACGTGTTGCTTCCATCTTTGCATAAGTTGGGGCTGATGAAAAATTTTGTGAAAGCTATGAATTGAAATGGAACAGGGTTTCTGCATTTAAAACAAACATTTCCGAGACTTAGTGAGTCAAAAATTAAAGAGCGCATATTTGTGGGTCCACAAATACGGAAAATCATGAAGGACGATGTATTTGACAGTGCTCTAAATGAAACTGAATTACGAGCTTGGAATGCTTTTAAATCAGTTACTGCAAATTTTTTAGGCAATGTGAAGGCGGGCAATTATAAAGACAATCTGAGTGAACTAATTAATCCATATAAAATAATGGGATGTAACATGTCTCTAAAAACTCACTTTTCGGATTCTCATCTTTTTTTTTCGTAAAATTTAGGTGCGGTAAGTGATGAACATGGTGAACGGTTCCACCAAGACATTTCTGCTATGGAAAAACGGTATCAAGGCAAATGAAGTGTCAATTTGCTTGCTGATTATTGCTAGACATTTTGTTAAGAGATACTTCAGGACGTCGTAAAACAACGACAACAACATTCTGAGATTAATGTTTATTCGAGTGTTTATTAGTACTCTTACACACATATCCTTTACGAGATTTTACGAGTATAAGCAGCAAATAAAATGTATTATTGCAAGAAAACCGTCTGTGATAGAAAAAATCGGATGCTATTTCTGGATTTTTGGGTACGTTTTACATAATAACCACCTTGGTTTGACCATGTCACAAAAAATTATATTAATTTGTTCACCAGTGTTATTGTCAGTACAAAAGTGCGTTATTATTGTTTTTACAAAAGATTCCATGTACACGTAGCCCGTTAAATGTTTTAAGCTAACTGTATAAAATTTCTAGCGAAAATAAACCTACAACATGATGGTGACCTTACTGACATCGAACAGCTATTTTATGATGTGTGATAGTCGTCAGACTGCAGTGCCCAAAAAACCATCACACACACTAGCTTATGTAGAGGGTTTGAAGGGTCCATCACGGCGGTGGTATGTCCGACTTTCATGACTATTATGTTTTCAAAATTGTGAATGGTTATAACGTAAAGAACATTCAATTAGACAAAGTTTCTCGAAACGATGAACATTTAGATTTTTTTTCCAAGATTCCTTTTTCAAAAACTTTGGACCTTTGAAAGGAACGTCATTTTGCTCCTAAAAAACTAGCAACTATCTGTGGTAGTGAAAAAAACGTTGATAAACCGTTGAAGAGCTTGAAAATAGTCTCACCGTGCCTTACTGACAATTTTTCTAAATGGAATGTCTCATATTTTATCACATGTTGACCTAGACTCACAAACTGTTACTTAAAGCGTTTTGATTATTGGTTGTTGTTAAAAACAGGTTTAAAATCTTTCAGGCAGCTGTGTACGAGTTTCAAAACTCATACACAAATTTTGTCACACATATCGATATATCACAAGACAAAAAAAAGATAAATACCATTCAGCGTTTCTACGTTTGTAGGTGGAATTAATGTTTTCAAGCTAGAACCGTACACTTCAGGACTCTCCCGTTACAAAACATCCAGGGTTACCCAATCTTTTTTTGTGAGGCTCCACGGACTATAAATTATATTTTCATGCCCCCTTTACTTTTTCAATAAATACAAAAAAACGCACATTATATAAGTACAAAGACTTTTATTTTAATTGTAATAAGGAAACTTTAAAAGGTCAAATAAACTTGTCATCGAAAAACTTGAGTAAAATAAGAGTAGGAACTAATGAGACACTTGAGATTCCATGTCCTGTACCAGTTGGTCGATTCTAGGTTCTGTTTTTGTCAGAGTTATCATCAGGTCGTTATCAACATCAAGACGATTTCGCTGTTTAGTTTTAATTAAAACTAGAGCAGAAAAGCCTATCTCACATAAGTAAGTAAGAAAAAGGAACTAGTATTCGTAAAGCAAGAGAGGCAAGTGTCGAATTAACAGGCAATCTTTTGATCCAAAATTTCTCCAATGTTAAAAGATGGAAGTCATCTTTCATGGACGAATCAGCCTTCATTTCTTCTTCTTTTCGTCTTCAAAACCAGAGTAGGATGTTGTTGCTTCAAATGCCTTTCAAGGCGATTGGGCCTCATGCTCATGCTAACATTACTTAAAACTTTCATACATATCACACACTGGGGCAATTGTAACTCGTCTTTTTCTATGAAAGTAAATCCAAAATTAACGTAATCTTCGGAAAACTTTATATAACAATAAAACAAGTAAGTAATAAATAAGCAAAATACATACATGTAATTACTGATTATATGCCTATTATTTTATCTTAATAACGTAATGTAATCAACAGTACATATATTGGCCACCGGGATATTTATATTTTAATAGGAAGGTTGACGTTATAACAGATAGGTACTTAAAGTTCGTCGTTTCAAAATCATTTCGCCACGGTGCCGGTGGTTTGATTGTGATGTGGTAAAAAAGTCCCAATGGCCGATCTGTGAACGCGTCTCCACTCAATGAACAATTTAGTAAATTAATTAAAAATGGTAACTGAAGTTTGTAAATACACAAACTTACCTTTTAACAGAGAGACGCAATAATTTGACACACTCAAACAGATTTCTCAACAAAACATGTACATCGAAACGTCAAATTTTTCGCAAGTTTGTGGGAATGAATGTCACAGATGCTCATCCGCTTCTGGTAGGCACACAATATTGTTTTCTCAGTGTTAAGCGCAGCGCGGCGGGGGTGGGCGCGGATTTCATGTAGTGACTTGTCGAAACTTGTATAAACTGCGATTGATGACGCCGGGTTTTGAAACAGCGGTTGACAGAATAAGTGAATATGATATTTAATTTATAATTTTATGCGTGTAAATTAAACATTACATTGTAATGTTACTTATTAATGTTGTTTGTTTATTTTTTTTGTTTTTTCTTTCTAAAATGCAAACTCTTTCCGCCCCCATTGACATCTCACTAGTCCCCCTTTGGGAGGCGCGCCCCCCTGGTTGGGAACTCCTGCTCTAATCTTCATTTCGAAGTAATAGTTCGTTTAAAAATTTGCAATTTTGCTCAGAAAGTGATTATTTTTTTTGCCTCCCTGACCTCCCTAATATCATCATTACTGGAATGCTCTAGTCAGAATTTTTGTGTGGAAAATTTGGATGCTTTTTAATTCAATCGATGGCTGTACCATTA